GCATACTACAAATTGATACCCTCTGTGATCTGGCACAGTGAGAAGCCCAGGGCCTTCAAGCATATCATTAATCACACACTGCCAATGAACTACAGGAGCAGTAAGAAGTCATGGACGGCCCAGCTCCTCTTCCGAGATGTCTTCTTGAATTGCTATGCCAGCAAAATAGGGAAACACCATTTGGAGAATAACATCCCTTTCAAGATTTTACTTTTTGTTGATAATGCTCCTGGACATCCTCTTTATTGGTAGCCTTCTCCAATAGCCAAGTGTTTCTCCCTCCAAACACCACCTTTTTGATCTGACCAATGGATCAAGAAGTCATAGCAGCTTTTATGGCCTACCAGTTGAGGAGGGCCTTTGCCCAGGCTATTGCTGCAATTGAGGAATACACTGATACAATTCTAAATTACAACATCTATGACTACATCAAAAACCTTGCTTGGGCTTGGGGTGATGTCACCAAGGAGTGCAGGAATGGCATCTAAGACACTTGAAAGGTTTGTTCATGATTTCAAAGGATTGGCCAAAGATAAGGAGTTTGCAAAAATCAATAAGGCTGTACTTAAGATGGCAAATAGCTTTAGCCTGGGTGTGGATGAGGATGATACTGAGGAGCTCCTAGAGGTGGTTCCTGAGAAATTATCTAATGAAAAGTGTTGGAACGGAAACAGGAACACATAGCTGAAGAGGTAAGAGAAAAGAAAACTGCAGAACCATCCTCCAAAAATTCACAGTGAAGGGTTTAGCAGATTTTGCAGACCTCAACAAGCTCCTTAAAATGTTTCAAAACATGGATCCTAACACCAAAAGGTCATCATTATTAGATAGAAATGTGCATGGTGCATTATCTGCTTACAAGCAAATCTAGGGTGAAAAAAAGAAAAATAAGCAAACCACCATGGACACACTTCTGAAGAGTGATACTTCCTTAAGAAGGGGCTCAGGCAGGTCCTTCAGGAGGCATTCCAGAAGACAGCACTGTTATCATAGGAGATGACAGCTCCATGCATGTTATCGCCCCCAAAGAACTTGCAGTGAGATATGTGGAGTTAAAAGTCAGTCATATTGATGATCCTGACCCTGTGGGCCCAGGCTAATGTGAGTTTTGTTTTTAACGAAAAAGTTTAAAAAGTAAAAAAAAAAATGTACATTTAAAGGATTTAAAGAAAATTTTTTGTACAGCTGTACAATGTGTTTTAAGCCATGTTATTACAAAAGTTGAAAGTTATAAAAAGTTTCTAAAGTACAAAAGTTACAGTAAGCTAAGTTTAATTAATTAAGAAAGCTTTTTCTTATAAGTTTAGGGTAGTCTAAGTGTACAGTGTTTATAAAGTCCACAGCAGTGTAGTCATGTCCTAGGCCTTCATTCGCCCACCACTCTCACTGACTCACCCAGAGCAACTTCCAGTCCTGCAAACTGCATTCATGGTAAGTGCCCTATACCATGTTTTTATATTTTATACTGCATTTTTTCTTTGTTTAGGTACACAAATATTTACCATTGTGTTACAATTCCCTACAGTATTCAGTACAGTAACATGTGGTAGGTTTGTAGCCAAGGGGGAATAGCCTATACCATATGGCCTAGATATGCAGTCGGCTATCCCAGCTAGGTTTGTGTCAGTGTACTCTATGATGTTCACACATTGACAAAATCACCTAAAGACGCATTTCTCATAAGGTATCTTCATTATTAAGCAACACATGACTGTACACCAATGATATCATGCTGATTGACAAAATTCGGAAGATAGGTTAGCACGGAGGCCTTGCTGAGATACATGTTCTAGCAGTTGGGAGATGAACTATAAAGATATGGGGACTTGCCGTTTCTGTAAAGTTCTAAGACCAGTGGTAAAGGGCATGCTAGAACATCCCCAAAGTAAAAGACAGCTTGTTACATTTGCATCACCTGCTACAAGGAAGCAAGATTTCTGTAGATTCTGGAGGCAACACATTCCACTGAATAAACACTATTCCAGCCCATATATTGGATAATATGAAAGTCTACTACATTTGAGTAGACCTATAAGTAGCCAACAGGTACATGAAAAGGTAAACATCACTAGTCAGAAGGGAAATGCAAATCAAAACCAAAATAATATCACCTCACACCTGTTAGAATGGCTATTATCAGAAAGATGAGATAAATAAATACTGGTGAGGATGTGTAGAACTGGAAACTGTTGTGCACTGTTTGTAAAAATGTAAATTGGTACCACTACTATGGAAAACAGTATGGCATCCCCTCAAAAAATAAACATTAAAACTACTACATTGCCCAGCAATTCCACTTCTGGGTACATATCTAAAGGAAATGAAATCACTATCTCAAAGAGATATCTGCACTCCATGTTCATTGCAGCATTATTTACAGTGGCCAAAACACAGAAACAACTGGTGTCCACTGACAGACAGATAAAGAAAATGTGGTGTATAGATACAATGGAATATTATTAAGCCATAAAAAGATGGAAATCTAGCCATTTGTAACATGAATAGACCTTGAGGGCATTATGCTAAGTGGAATGTCAAAGACTGTATGATCTCACTTACATGTGGAATATAAGACTAGAATGGTGTATAAAATAAAGAAAAACACTCATAGAAAAAGAGATTAGATTTGTGGTTGCCAGAAATGGTGGTAGGGGGCAGTTGAAGGTGGTCAAAAAGTATAAAACTCCAGTAATAAAATGAACAATTTTGGGGATATAATGTTCAGCATGGTGACTATAGTTAACAATAAATATAGTTTGAAAGTTGCTAAGAGGATAGATCTTAAAAGTTCTCATCACAAGAAAAAATAATTGTAACTATGTCAGCTGATAGATGTTAACTAAACTCATTGTAATAATTTTGTAATATATGCATATATCAAAATCATCATTACATACCTTAAATACAATGTTATGTGTGAATTATATGTCAAAGCTGGAGTAAGAAAAAAGAACTGATGCAAGCAGCCTCCAGCTGCCACTCCTTCTGATCTGCTGCAGGATTCACATGCTGTTTCCCCAGGCTGCTCCCAGTATACTAAGGCCATTTCTGCCCATTGCAGGACTACTATAATGGGTAATCTGCTCTGAGATTCTTCATTGAGCTGGCAGACTTTCTCAGAAAAGCTTAGATCTGATGCTTTTTTACTCAAATTTTCTCTCTTCTATTGCATGTGTCAGACTCACATTGCAGTCTGAAGACTTTCCCCGCCCACTGCTCCTTCTTCCCTTGTATCTTTCACAGGCATCTCATTCAGATACCTCTAGTTGATTCCATCTAACTCCATCTTGGTGTCAGCCTGTTAGAGGATCCAAACAATAAACTTTTAAAATTACAATAATCAAACAAGTGGGGTAGATTATCCAAAATCACCCATATCTCAACACGATACTACTTTCAGGAACACAGATTTCAATGACCTAATCCATACTGTCTCTCAAATTTATATCATGTAAACTTCAGATGTCAATAGCTCAGTACTGTTGTGGTCCCTATGAAGTCTGCTTCACAAAGCTCTGACCTTTAAAGGAGTCTTCCTGTGAAATTACTAAGTACAGGGAAATAAAAATTTAAAATTAAACACACTAAGGCCTTCTGTTTGTAATACTGAAATTATTATTTACTGAGTTTTCAAGTCTTAAGAACTGAAGGATTCAGTGCCTTAGCACTTTTTGGTCTTACAAGTTATGCCTTTCTGTTCAGATATTTCTGGTTAGGTTAACTTTCATGAGTATCAACTCTTCCACCTTCCTTGACTACAAAAGGATCATTCTTGGTTTACTACATAGAATTTCCTTACATCCATTTCCTACCACAGCAAATAACCTCAAACTCTACTGTTAACAAAGCCTCAATTTAGAAGTGTAATTCATGGATCATTGCATTGCCTAAGGCACATTCAATCCACTCATTCCTCTGGAATAAGGGTCAGCCTGTTTTGTACAACCTATGAGCTAAGAATGGTTTTTACATTTTTATAGGGCTATTTTTAAAAAATATTAAAAATAAAAAAGCAACAGACCATATGTAGGTGGCAAAGCCTAAAATATTTACTATTTGTCCTTTCACAGAGTTAAATTTGCCAATCCCTGTTTCAGAGCAGTATTTCTTAAAGAGACCAGTGCTGACAAGACTTAGGGCAGTGATTCTCAAACAATAGAACAAGTCACTTGAGGAGCTCATCAAAATACAGATTCCATGCAACTCAGAAATTCATATCTTATGGCCCTAGAATCTACATTTTAAATAAATAAGCCAAGTGATTATAATGTAGGTGGTTCTAGGTCACTTTTGAGAAAAATTTTATCGGATCAACTCAAGAGGACTCCTTACTGGATTGCCTTTATTGGACTATATCCTAATGTCATGACACTGATCAGCATTGTGAGACAGCTCAGGTCCAAGAAATTCTGCTTTTCCTGTGCAATAAGCTATCTTCTACCTTAAAGTTACTACAAATTTTCTAATCATTTCATTCTGCTCACCAATTTTGTCCCACCTCTAAGCAAATGTAGAGGACCTGATAGCATACATTTCCATGTTTTTAATCCTCAGTTCACCTTATTTTTCCCCCTTCTATTTTGGTTTCATCCCAATCTTCCCCATTTGTTTTAATACATCTGTTAAGTCGGTTCAAATCATTTTGGGAAAAATAAGTCATGTTACCCTAAATTATTCCTTATCGTGCATGGTATGCATATTCCTTATTTCTCCTGGTTTAGGAACAAGAAAAAAATATTTTTGAGCTTACAGGGAAAATAATCAAGAAAAAAATGAGATACAGGTTTTTCTTATATAAAATTCTTCAGTTAGCCAACAAAGTGTGGGAATATGGAATAATCAGTCTAGATTAGGAGAAAGGCCTCCACGCACCATGTTCCAACCGCAAGATCTCATGGATGGTGCTTAAATAGGAAAACTGAAAGGAAATCAAGAAAACCTTATAGACTCCAATTCTGAGATGAAAAGATGCAGTAGCTCTTGAATATCAATAACCAAAATTTACAGAAGTAGCATTTATTGAATACTCTATGTTTACAGCACTGTACCTGTATTACAGCACAGCTAGTCCTTATACATTAATCTAACAAAGTAGGTACAATTATTTCCATTTGTTACAAATATTCCCCCACTATGGCGTGAAAAAAAGTGACTTGTCCAAAGATCGTATAACCAGTACATTTCGAAATTAGAATCTGTGTCAATATTTGATTACAAAGCCCATTCTTTGTTGAAGGTTTGGGGTGGGGTATGTATCTGATCCCCTACTGTTGAAACGGGGGGTCAAATATATGGTGATGGAAGGAAACTTGACTTTGGGTGGGAGCACACAATGCAATATACAGCTAGTGTATTACAGAATTGTACACTCAAAATTCATATAATCTTATTAACCAATGTTACCCCAATTAACTAAAAAAAATCCAAAAACTTGAGAAGGGAAAAAATAGACTAGGTCAGACATGGTCACTTGTTACAAGATTAAAATGTAGCAAGCAGTGTTGTGACAAGCGTGTGCCAGAGCCTTATCAAAACAAAAACAAAAACAAAACAAAAAAAACATAGCAACAATTATTCAGCATGAACAGATAAATTGTGATGAAAGAGGCAGGGCAAAATCCATGTAACACATATTTTAATACATGTCTATGTACCAAAAGTAGTGTTTCAGAATATATTATAGAGATTAGTCAAGAACCAAAGGGGTTTCATCTTGCAAAAACTGAAGAAAAGAATAAAGAGAATGACACATGCAGAGCTAGACTTCAAGTCTAGATATATGGACTGAAGAGAATTCTATAAGATGGAATGGATAGAAATCATACACCATGCTATTATTTCATTTCCAGTTCTGATGTTTTTATTTTAGGAAACACAATGAATGAAACGGATTGGAATTATTGCTTCCTTTTCTGTGCATTTCTATCCTCCATTTGAAAAATGCCATCAATGTATCTTCAACCATTCTGTGAATGAGATAATAACCAAAAAGGATCATTGGCTCCTTTGAAAGAATCTAAAGGGAGAAAAGACATACAGTTCACTTAAATCACAGATTAAACAGTCTTTATAATATGATGAGGAAAAAAAATTAAAGACAGAAAATTAATGTAACGATGTAATAACACAAATTGTCTAGATTACCAAAAAAATCACAACCAGTTTTTTTTTGAATTACAACACTTAACCTTGGTGATCTCAGGTGGTAAAGGTATACTAAGGTACACTCTGATTCTGACTTGGAACATATTTAATGTTCTTATTAAAAACTAAAAAACTTAAACCTATGTTGGTTTATAAGAGCAACCTTACCTCCCAAATTTACTTGGCCTTTCTTTAGGAGAGACTATTCTAACTCCTTGGAATTTGTTCTCTAGTGGGCGAAGAATCAACAGTTCAATTTATAGGTCCATTACATTGTCTACTTCATTAAGATGTTGCCAACACAACAGCCAACATTTTTTTCTCTTCTTTTTTCTTTATCCCTGAGTTTAGTGGCTTATTTCAGTTAGACATCCAGATAAGGATACTTTCCTAGTGATTAAAACTGCACTATAGAGATAATTTATATTTTATAAAAATCAACACAATTTTAGACACTGAATTCCATATTAATTAAAAAATACAATCATATAAAGATGTGTCACAGTGATTACCCTTAACTATCCTATAATATAGACATGTGTCTTAAACAGAAAAATTATACCAAGAGGAAAAAAATCGAGGCAAGAACATTTCTTTTACATCACATAAAATAAAACATATGGTACCAAAAGGCCTGAACAAATAAAATTAAACTTAAATGCTCTTCCTTCCAGTGATCTAGGCTACATTTTCCATAAATTATACAAAGAGTAATAAATTTTGGCTCTGGTAAAGATTCTAGTTGGTCCTTTTTCAGTTCTAAAGCACTGACATCTCTATATGCTAAGCAAAATTTGCAATTAAGACAAAACTGTTTTAAAAAATTTAGAAATTCTAACCATATTAACTGAGGCCATATAGTCTTATGTTTCAAAGTAATATACATGTTATTCAGCATGAGGATAAACAATTTCTTGAATAGGTGACTTCTTTTTACATAAGTTTCAAAGAAAGAAACAAAATTCACCATATATTTAGACAACATTAGTTATTCTAGCTTCGTGTTATTGATGAAAAGGGAATAAAGCTGTTTGCCCGGGCAAATATAGACATAGCAAATGCAAATGGAAAGGGGAAGACACACATTATACACAAAGAAAAACAGGCAGGCAGAAATAAAAAATGGCAACATTGGAAAAGTAAAATCAGAAGAACTAAATGAAAGAGAGAAGCATGGAGACTGAGATAAGAGATACAAAGACCTGGAGGAATAAACACAAGCAAAGAGAAAAAGCAAAAACGGATAAGCAAGAGAAAGATGAACACACAGTGTGGAATTATGGGCAGACAAAGTGACAAGGAAATGGGACTAAACGGAAAAGAGATAGTTGAAGAAGTGATAACTTTTATCCCATAATTTTTTCAAATTACATACGTTTTTATTTTTACCCTTCCAATGTTCCCACTAAAAAAGGGACAGACTTGTATTTTTACAAAATGGTTACCAATGCATATTTCATTTACCTTGCAGATTTTCAAAAATCAGATTTACTGTGAGATAACATAATTTTTGCCAACATTAGGTTCACATATTGGATGTGAACTCAATGGGGAGAATCCTGTGACAATGTATACGTATGTCAAATCATCGCTTTTATCTTACAATTTTAGCTGTCAATTCTTTTTCAATAAAGCTGAAAAAAGGTTTACCTATGACAATTTACTGGGGGAAAAAATCCCTAGTTTTACATATTGCTAATTTTTTTTTTTTTTTTCAAAGTAAAAATGAGAGCACACTACTTAGAAGAAATTCATCCTAAGGCAAGGACCTACTGGCATTTACGATTACACACCACAGCAAATTATACAGCAGTGGTGTCTGATTAGAAACATTCTTAAGTCGAAAATAACTTACCATTTAGAGTCAAATCTAGGAATCTTAATGCTGTTTCCACTTTTTGCTGCCTTTACCTCACTTGGTATGTCATGCTCTCTCTCTTCTATGTGGATTTTGTCAATAGCCATCAATCTGAAGAATTCCTTCTTCTGCTGCCACCTACCAATTTCTCTGCTGCAGCAGAAGAGTATACAGAAAAAGTTCTTGCTTACTAGTCAGATTAAACAGAAAAATTCCTTTATTCCTCATTTCGTATTTTCACATGTACACAAACTTCCCAAGACCTCCCCACCAAAAGTCAAGACAACAAAAATCCCAATAACTGAAAATTAAACAATGTATGATCAATGTTCAAGCTAAGCTGGGGGAAAAAAGTGGAAAGATTTAGACACTCAACAGTTGCCATCTCAAGGAGCGGTTTCTTTTCTGTTGTGTTTTCCTTCTTCACTTATCCCTATGATCTAATGAATAAATGCATAACTTAAAATGTTAACTAGGTAGTCTACAACTCCTGCAAATTTTAAGTTTAGAGACTACCAAAAGAATTGTGGGAGATGCAGCAATAAAGGAGTTTTTGAAAGTAATTCTAGAAACTAAGGGTATTAGGTGCTTTACCTGCTTCAGTTTTCAATGCTCTGGACTGCTTAGTGCCCATTGGCTCTGAATACATTAAAACACGAACACATACGCCACCTACATTTAAAATAAGGTAGCATTTGTATGCCCATATAAGCACTGGGTACATTTTTTGCAAAAGAGTAATAAATTAATTCTTTTTAAAAGGACTGACCACAAATGCACATTTCCTCAAACTGTACATGTACATAAAAGATTTAGGGCAAAAAAAAGGGTGACAGAATGACAAATGTAATAGCAGTTGAAGATGGGAATTAATGCTTAGTGCCCATTGGCTCTGAATACATTAAAACACGAACACATACGCCACCTACATTTAAAATAAGGTAGCATTTGTATGCCCATATAAGCACTGGGTACATTTTTTGCAAAAGAGTAATAAATTAATTCTTTTTAAAAGGACTGACCACAAATGCACATTTCCTCAAACTGTACATGTACATAAAAGATTTAGGGCAAAAAAAAGGGTGACAGAATGACAAATGTAATAGCAGTTGAAGAACTGGAAATTAATACCTCATAAATGTTTTCTGTTTGTTAAAATCCTGAGATTCATTTCTATTCAGATTCTCTTTGTCATTGGGGTCTAAGTTTCAAATATATTCTGTATTAGCTACTAAAGAATAGTATCCAATAATGAACTAGTAATAATAGTGATGGCTTGTTTTTGTTCCACCCTCCCACTATCTTTACCCCAAAAGAAAAACACGTAAGTTTTGCCAACTTAAAAAATAAAACAAACACTGACGTAAGCACCAAAGGTTAGCCAACTGCAGTGACATTGTTTCTACTTTCTTATTCCTTCCCCCATCTCAAACCCCACCCTTTGACCTCTGTATATGGGATGAGCCTGAGCAGGAGAGTTGGTGATGTCAGGACTGCGCCGTTCCCACGGATGCTCCTAGAGGCCTGCTGTGCTTCTGGGAACTGGGGCACAGGGATGTCTGTCTGACTGAAACCTAAAACAACAACAATTCACCCCACCCCTCATGTTCCCGAACCCCACAACAGCAGCCAGGTATATATGCTACATAAGGCCCATCTAATAAGTGAATATGATAAAATGTGAAAGCAAGATCATTCTTATCAAGTTAGTGATCTTCATGGGAACAGCCAAATGGACGTTGTTAAATTCTCTATGTCCCATGTAATCACATAGTCCACACATTCTAATGCTGGCTATTCTTATCAGCAAGAGAACAAGGTTCTCTTGTATAAGCCTTTTTTAGTATACATCACAAATTCCTGCAGGAGTGTAGTTGGGATTCCTTTGTTAGTAAAGTTCAGTTCAACGGATGAGTATTTTTATCTTAAAATGGTTAAGAAACTATCTGTCCCTATCTTACATGAGTAAAATAAAGCACAAAACAGTTTAATGATTTATTTTATGCCTTTAAGTGTAGAAATAACATTAGAAGCCAGACTGCCTACTCACTAGTGATTTACTGGACTTATAGCCTCTTTGGCGAGAACATCGAAAGGCACAAGATAAAATTATGCAGAAGTGTATCTTGAAACGGTCTGACTACTGTCACTAAAATTCTACCTATCAGAAAAAGGATTATTTCCCATAATGATAATAACTCCTATCAGAGCTAAAATTTTAGAACAGGAAAAAGGCAGAAAGGGTAATTGGACTGGGTCTACAGAGGAAGGGGGTGGTATATGAACAAATAGGAAGGCTATTAAAAAGGACAAGTTGTATTCCTATTCCTGCCACTAACTTTGTTTTACGGTCTCTGTTAATCTATTTAACAATTGTGTGCTTCAGAAATGCCCTCCAATCTGTTCAAACTTGTAATTTTTATATTTAAACCATTATTTTATGATAATCTCAAACTATTCACATCTATCCCTGTTAGAACTAGTATCTGAGAAATGCTAAAATTAGTTCTGAAATCACGTTGCTCCTACCATAACCAAAATGCTTTCTGCTATCTTTGTCTTATCATTCCCTTTCACTTTTATAATGATGTCACAGAAAGAGAAGCACTAAAGTCAACTGAATACTATGGTGAGTTTTTACCATATATATAACCTAGAACCTAATTTTACCTTTTCAAAACTCTAGTTTTCCATACCTGTCAACTCCTAATTGATGTCTTTATACTGTGAGCTCACTGTGTATTCGGAACACCAACCCCTGAAAAAGCTTAAGCCAGAATAGCACAATGGAAGAAACAAGCAAACCCAAAACAAAAACAAAGCCAAAAAGTCACACTCTGAAATAATTATAGACATATATGCAAGGAATGGAGTTATCTACATGGTTAAAGCACATCCCCAATGAAAGTCTTGAGATCATCCCAACCAATTCAAACTTCACCCCAAAAGTTCTTTAATCACATTTTCTAGATAGAGTTTTACATTATTCTTTTTAAATGAAACTTATTACAAACCCATGGTTGCCGTTAAAGTACATAAATAAATTTTTTAAAAAGGAAAATAAAGTTAGCCTTGTGATGGAAAGAAAGGAGAAAGAGTCAAATTACCTGCAAGCAGGCTGGGCTGTGCCTGAATCCAAACCGCTGCATTTACCACTCATTATACAGCTGCATTATTGGGGGAAGGGGAGTTTAGAAGGGCACTGACCCCGAAAGTTCTCAATACTTCTCACTCATCATCAGGAAGGGGGAAGAAGGAAAGTTTTTTCTCTGGGTATTTTTTGTTTGTTTGTTTTTGTTTTTTTGGCTCCTGAAAAGGCTGGCAAAGAACAGTAATAGTGCAAGCAGTTAGAATATTTCTTTAAAAACAATTGTAAAAATGCAAAACATTAAGGAATTCAAAACACCAAACTTTCATTAAGATAAAAAGAATTTTCACTAGAGTTAGGAACCACCCCAAAACATCATGGCAAAAGGGCACTGTTATAAAGGAAATAAAATACCACACAAAAATTCAAAACAAAACTAAAAACTTCAAATTAAACCTGGAAGACTAGAAGATTCCAACAGCAGATTTCTGTCCACTACTGAAACATTCCAAAATCGAAGCTTCAAAGGCGCCTAAATGTATCTTAAATGAAACTTTGTTTTGTTTTTTAAAGAAAAAAAAGAAAGCAATAAACCTGGTTATAAATCCTACAATATATTACATTTAAAAATATCCTAGTACAATAAAAACAAATTTTAAATGAAATTAAACAAACAAACAAACAAATAAAAACAGTAGCAGCAGAGGTTACCTGTCTGAGCACCTACATTTTCTTAGGAGGGGATCGTGTCTCACCAGCCATATAGCCCATTAACCTTCTCAAAAAGAGTGAGCCAGGAGAAAATAACACAAGATTTGATTTCACAATGTCTCTAGGCTCCCCAGACCCCAAACTGGGGATTCACTGAATGAAGAAAATTTGTTTTTCCATTGGCTTCTTCTTGAGAAAAAGATGATTTTGAAAGTCAATTACTTCTTTCAATGCCTTCGATAACTTCTCAAAAGTCTGCTAAAGTGCATGATGAAAGCAAGTCTCTTGATGATTTTTATAATGTTCCATGGTATTTTCTTATTAATAGCATATACAGAAAGATTTTTAAAGTTCAGTGGAGTAAAAGCCAGCAGAAATGACCGATCAATTATAGGCACCAAAAAAGGAAAAAAATTATTAAAAATTTTAAATGGAATAGTTCGTATTTATATATGTGTGAGTGTGTGTATGTATAAAGATAGTCCAGTTTTCATCATAGGTGACAAAAAACAATATCAGAAAGAATTACTTTTAAAATACAATTCAAAATTACAATTTTAACAATGCACAATAATTTTACAGTAATTCAGATTTTGGCATGATTATACATAGTTGATAAATACATTTTTATCTCATAATAGCAATAAAGATTAAACAAAAGTTATTAAACAATATGAAAATATATTTAACTTTCACTTAAATATCTAAGCTGTTATATCTGGATTCTTCCAGAATGATTTGTTCATATTCTTTACCTTATTTTTTGAAGGAATTCATGAAGATATTCATGATGACCATTCTTTCCCTTTTCATTCTAACATGTGAGTATACAAATCCAGAAATAGGTTGGTAAAGCTAAGTTTTAATATTGTGTGAATGTACAAAAGATGAATAGTGAATAAAACTAAAGGTGAAATAATCTAGTATTTTTATAATACAGTTGGTTAATTTGGTAAAACTTTGTAAAGGCTACCTACATTTTTCCTGGTGCCTTATCCCTCCCAACACAAACCTTGAGTTCTTCATCAAATAGACAGGCTCTTCTATCTGTGTTTTAAAAACTAATCTATATACATGTGATATGTAACTATTCAAGGTATATGTAACATAATTAGGTGGCAACCAGATGGTCTCTACACAAACATATGAATGATGATTTAATTAAGTAGTTCTTTTTTCCCTCATTTATTTCCCTATCCCAAATAGTATACATCCTCCAAAGTATGGTCATTCAGTGAAAGAATTACCAAGTTATTTCTTTCTGTTGAGTCAGAGGTACTCATGTAAGTCCCACAATAACCATGTGCAAGTCAAATTATTTTAGATGAGATTAAAATATCCTAAAATAAATTAGAAACTCCTCGTGTATCCTTTTTCTGAGGTGAAATGAAACACTGCACAGATTAGAGGTACTATTCTATTTGTCAACAATCAACCTTTCACTCAATTTTAATATTATTTCATTCTATAGAAAAAAACAAATTTTATTACATTCCTTTTTAAAATGGGGGGAAAACTGTACAAGTAAGCATGATCAAACCTCTGTTAGAGCTGGTTAATACTGATCTTTTATTATTGCCTCGAAGTCTCTCTAGTAGTGTCCAAGAAATTAAGTTTAAGGTCCATCTGAAGGAAAAAAGCACTGGAGAGGCAAGAAAGGACTTGGGTAAAAGCTTCAGAGGATTGTTAAGGAGATGGAACTTGCTGTTTAAAAAAATTATGTTGAGCTCTGGAGCATCACCATTTCTTAACACATCTTCCAAACCATCAGTGGGATAGTTTTACCCATGTTTTAAAGGCTCATATTATATGTAGTTTGGGGGCTTTTATAAATTCAAAAAGTAAAGGAATAGAAAGAGTGGAGAGTACTGAAGGCTTCAGAGTAGGGCTATAAGAGACTCAATACTGCTAAGTAAGTCCCCAAACAAAAATATCCAGTCCACCCCACCCCAAAACCTATGTGTCATAGGAGAAAACACACAGCCAGAAGCATTGAAAAGCACGTAGCCTTGAATGAATCGTACACTGAACAGTCTAGCTAGAAATAAAACAAAACCAAACCAAAAAAACCAAACAAACAAACAAACAAAAAAAAAACCAAACCAAACAACGTATACACAAAAAGGCCTAAGAAGCATCTATTCTCCTTATGTCTTCAGGTGAGTACCTCTACCCCAGTGGAGTAGTTATGAAAACAACTCATCTCCTTTTTAAAGTAAAAAAATGTGTTTCCTATCATGCTCCATTTTCTAGAATCTATCATTTTTGATTGGTTGGTGTAAACAAAAAGCAAAACACATACACATGCATTCGTGCACACACACACATATATACTCCCTCCTAAAATGTGAAAAATGCAAACATATAATGCTGAGATTAGAAATCATTTCAGCTTTATACTTAAGAATTTATAGGCCCTTGATTTGCCCCCAAAAAATGTTTCCTTAACCTTATTCTTTATATGTCCAACCACCAAAAGAAAAAAATAAAATAAAAGGCTTTAAATGTACATTTCAAGTCAGTGTCTTGTTAACAAAAAAAAAAAAGGTAGCATTTTCTTCACTTTGGCCATTGTTAAAGATGCAGGCATAGATCAGGAAATGTTAGACTTGCATTTTTTTTTTTTTTAAATGCAACATTAACAGAGCATATATCTTTCAAAAAAGACTAAAACACTAACAAATACAAGTCAATGCAAATATTTTAAACTAGTGTAATTTTATCTACATTAGAGTAAATGTTATTTTGTGTACCAGACATTGCAATACTGTTCATTTCCCTTTTATCATGCAAACATGCCAATTTTGTCATTAAAAACATCTTTATTGGGTCATATTCATGTTGCCCTCCCACCCAAATAAAGGGAAAAAACAAAAATAATAAATCCCAGTAAGAGCCCCTCAAGACTTCATAAACTATGAACAAAAACCTGCTAGTTAATATGGTAAAGGCAGAATTTTCAGATTTGTATAAAAAAATTTCTGTAATTTAAGTAGATGTTTTCCTTACCCATCACAAATCTTTGAAACACAATGTGAAGTTATGCTACTCTGAAATTTGTACCAACCGTACAAAAACAAAAGGGACCATGAAAAAAAAGTATTATGTTTTTCATGGTCTGAGAACATACATATTTTTGAGTAAAAGGTTAACTATGAAAGCCTGAGACATTTTTCTGTATCTCACCTCTTCTGCCTCTCTATCTATAAAATTTGTAAATGAGAGTCTGTAACATCTTAATTGCAGAAGTTTATCTTCTCTCCTAACTACTCAATTTTCTCTCATCTTCCTGAGCATCTTCCATGAACAGCATTGCAAGTTGGTTAAAAATAATAATATAAAGTAAGAAAGAAAGGGAAAAAAAAGAAAAAGAAAGTTTTACAAGGGTTTTGTTGGTTAATTATTTACCAGTGGAGTCACTCCACCAGGAGTTCGATTTCATTGGCTAGCAGCTGGTTCATGTTGAATAGGCCCCCTGGGAGCTTGGTGAGCAGTTCTCGCTCGGTGCTTTCAGGGTCGCTGTCAACAGAGCTGGAACTTGCGCTCATGTTGTCGACAGCAGTGCTGGCTGGGGGACCCAGCTCCGGCTCACTAGTCTCACTGGCCGTGGACACCACAGAGAGCAGGGACATACGCCGGGTGAGCCGGCCAGAGGGCAGAAGGGAGGCGGCATAGTCCGCTATGATACCAGCTACATCTAGATTACAAGCCTTATCAAAGGCGATGAAACCTACATTTGCATTGGCCTCGCAGACACAGAAGGAGCCGTCATCTTTCATCAACAGGTCAATGCCACACACATCCATCCCCAGGATATTAGACACCTGGATAGCTAGCTGCTTCCCCTGTTCACTTAATGAGCACATCATCCCCACACCACCTGACAAAAGAGAAACAAAAGAAAAAGTTACCAAAATGATAAATTTCTAGAGTAAAAGTAAGGCTAGCCTCTAAGGCCAACATCCTCTATTATAAATCAGTAGTGAAAACAAAGGTGTTATTCTGGTGTAAAATTGGGACTTTGAAGTCTAAGTTTCCTTCATTAGAGAATCCCCTTCCAACCCAGTCTCTCAAAGAATTCATGACTTAATACTTTTTCAATATGCTATTTATTCTGAAGACGACATTAAACTTTCACTGAAGCTTATCTTACTTGTAATAATATAGACCAAGTAGAAGGAACTTCTGCATAAATACAACTATGACAAAAATAAGAGATACATAATATGGGTAGAGTATAGAATGGAATTTGGGAACAAGGGGACCTGAACATGGCTCTGTTCCACTCCTGCGGCTTAAGGTAGCTGACTGAATGTAGGTGAAGTCTCGGGGTTTGCTGGAATCTGAGAGAAAGGAATTAGAACTAGATTTTTCTCATTTGGCTATCAGGACCAGAAAGCGAAGACTCTGGAGAAGAGATTGGCTCAAAGAGCCCTGTGCATCCACAGGAGGAAATCTGACATTAGCATTATATGAATACGCCTATTGTCTTTGACCCCAAAGAGGCCTAAAAGTAACTGCAGAGGTGAGTGGAGTCCTCCCTACAATTGAGGCTGGAAGAGTACGGAGGAGAATCCAGGAAACATAAAGGCTTCTTCTAAGTACCTTAGCAGGAGACTGGCACACTAGCCCATGAATTAAATGACTCTGCTTCTCAGCATCTGTAGAACTGAGGCCATCTGGAATGCTCCAAATAACCAGAGGAGAGCCATGATGTGACAACAACAAAAAAGTAACAAGCCATGTATGACTTGAATGAAAGAGACAAGAGTACTTTAAGGAAATTCAAGTTCAACACAAAAAGACTTTCTAAAGCTAAAAAAAAACAAAAAACAAAAACCATGATCACCCAACTAAAAACTTCAGTAGAGAAAATGAAGGAAACTATAGTCAATTTGGGGAGTCAAAACTTGGAAAATCAAGCATAAGAACTATTTCGAAGCACGTACAAAAAACTCAAGATGAAATCACACAAGAAAGATAAGAAATAGAGGACTGAGCTAAATAAGATTACTGAGAAAGTGAAATAAAGAGAGGAAAAACCTAAGCTAAGCTCTGAGGTTTTTCAACAATAAGTAACCTCATAAAAATACATCTTTAAATAAATCAAAACCAGCAATCTTGTTTGGAACAATGGGTTAAATGAGTTAGGACACATCCATTTTAAATGAACTCCAATTATATACAAAATAAGTTTATCAGCAAAGAGGAAATCTTTAACTCTGGTCAGACATTTCATATATGTGTGAATTGAGTTACAAATTGACCCTGAATGAAAGCAAATTCATGATTCAGAGAAATCCAATTTCATTACTAGAAAACAACTCAAAAATATTTTATATTCATGATAGGTAAGCCTATTAATTATACACATGAAAGAGAATGTTTTTTTCAGCTAATAAAAGGATCTGTAGTTGTATACAAATACTCATTTGACAAGCTGTAATATTACTTTCTACATTACAAAGATGCCTGCATCATTTTTACCTAATGAGCAGTTGCTTTGCATCCTCCCATCTGTTGAACAACGTAACATGGTGCCAACCACACGGCCTCCTACAACAATGACACGTACATCCCGTCCATGAGACTCTTTAACATACTTCTGAAACAGGTATGGGGCTTCATGACGAATAAGATGGCTTAGATCAGCCAAATGGTGCTTGTCTCGAGCCAAGAAAACAGCTTTGCCTATAATTAAAAAAGAATTATATCGAAGTCATCAAACTGTGGGTAGGTTGATATCTATTTCCTCCATCTTCTTGTGTCCCAATCTGCTCTTTCAGAACTAACTACTTTTTAACCAGTGTAAAAAATAGTTATGGCAATTAGTGAGACAATGCAAAAATGTATTAAAAAGTTAATAATCTCCTTCTGAGTCCCTCAATCCCCAAACTCTTACAGTGATCTAGAATTTATTTCGGTATGTTGTGAGGTAGGGATCTAAAATTTGTATTCCTCCAGGTTAGACAATAGTGCCAGTCTCACTTACTAACAAAACATTTCCCTCTAAGTTAAAACATGTTTTATATTATTGTACAATATGTTACTATACCACATTTGTATATATTAAAATAGCAGTGTCATTACATACCTAGTTTTAGTTCTAAATTCTCTAGTCTGTTCTATTGTTCTATTTGTAAATTTTTATGCCAATGGATGTAGTTGTTTTTAAAACATAGTTATGTTTTGACATTTTTCTCATCAAGGAGGGGTAAATCTATGTCAAATTCCCTTGAATTTAGGAGGGCTTGTGACTGCTTCAATCAACAGAATACAGCAGAAGCAATTCTATATGACTTCTGACGCTAGGTCACAAAAGCTCATGCTGCTATCTTGGTCCTTGGAGAATTTACTGTAGGAGCCCTGAGACTTCTAGGCTGCCATACTGAGAAGCCCAATATAAACAATGTAGTCAATAGTCCCAGCCGAACCCTTATCCAGCTATCCCTGTAAAGGCACTAAACCTTGTGATGTACTTGGATTTATGAATCATTTTATGCCTTAAGAAATCCTTCCTTAATCTGGAGTCATTAAGATATTTTCATACACTGTCTCCTAAAGCTTTATATTTTTCCTTATATATTTAAGTCTTCAAATTATATAAATTGGGAAGGGGATGGATGATTAGAGTTAGTGACAAAGAGTCCTTGTATTGTTGAAGAAGATAATGGTATAAAATTGAGGCTCTATCCAAGATAAGTATGCACCTTAAAATCTCTAGGATAACCACTAAATGAAAGGAGACAGCTTCTAGCCAAATTGAACAATTCATAGTAGCCTTCTATAAGTTTGAGGTACCATGGACTTAATAATTTCCTTCTAATTATTCTTCAGAAACCCTGTATCAAAAAATAAATTTCAACTGATAAGACTTCTGTCTAGTCAATAACCATAAGCAAATACAAATAATTGCTTTGATCTGATTAAGAAAAAAATCTACACTGTATAAACACCTTATTAATTCTCGAGAACTAATTTCACAATTATGTATCGTAGCAACAACTGATACACACCTCTATGACCCCGTGTATTCTTCACTACCATTGGGAACTCCAGTACTTCTGCTTCATCAATCATTTTAGAAAAATTTTCATGACCGCCTGGTTTGAGAAAAAAAGAAATTTAAAAACAGCAATAGAGATGTTTTGTGGTAAATTTTATCTACACTAATGTCAGCAACACAACGGAGGTAGAAAGTTAAGAACCTGATGACTAAATTTTTTCTTGGAGAAGTAATAAATAAAAGTTGACAGTACAGTTAAATAACCACACCTTTTTAGATGGATAAAAGCTATCTTAAATTCTAAATATTCTACTATCGGACCTAAAGAAATTAAATATTCTCTAACTAAAACAATGTTTCCCAATTCTATATCATTTTTTGTATTTTTTATCCTTTATTCTTCTACCATACAATAACAGAAGCCCCAAGATTTATTTAGTATATTCAGTTCCCTGTTTGGATTAAGAAGAGAAGAATGAGTCAGTTAAGAAGACTCATTCAAAGTTGAAGATGCTGCATATGTACACATGCACACACACACAGTCTCTAATACACAAATTAATTTTTCTTATCTCCATTATTAATCAGAGTTCTTTCTACACTGAGCTACTCAGTATCCATGTGTCAAATTTTACTTTTGTTTTTATTCCCCAGGAACAAATGATACAGTAGCAAGGTTGGAGAAAAATTAGATTGTAGCTGTAAAAAAATAGTACGATGATATAGAAAAATTAAACCAGGAAAAAGTTCATTAAACAACTTCAATATCATATATTTGCAGCTTAGAGAAATTAAGATGATTCAGTCCCCAAATTTGAAAACTTTAATATTAGAACATAGGTAATAATTTAATTGTTAACCCTTTTCTCCTTTCCATTCTCTTAAAATCAGGATTGTAGACCCATAATATAAGCTATATCCCAAAAGCATCAGAAAGACAGAAGTCTCAAATTATTCATATTGTCTACTGTGTAATTGCTAAAAACAGAAAATTGTATCATATATGCTATACAGACTTGGAGAATTCCCTTCTTTAAAATATTAAAAATAAGAGGACAGGGATTTCTTTTTAAAGCCTCATTAATTCTCGAAGCATTCTACTGGACATTTAGAGAAATAGCTTTATGAAAAACTGTACTGACTTACAGTAAATCTTATCCTTTCTAAACAAGAACTAGAAAGGCAATATTAACATAATATTATTTATAATATTACTCAAAATGTGGTCCAGTAACCTATGCCTGTTTCTGACTTCTTTGCTATTGATATGTGACCAGATAAATATAAAAAGAGTAAGCACTAGAAGCTTAAATGGCAATTTGGCATTGCTGTGATATTTTTACTGTACTTTATAAGAGTACCGATAAAGCATATTGGCCTTTAAAAAAAATCATTTACCACAAAGTTTTAGAAGCACTGACCTAATATAGTGTCATTTTCTTTAAAATAAGGAAATATTTATAAAGAATTATCATGAAAGTGGTAATAAAGATAAAAATTAGACAGAGATGTCATCAAATTCTATTATCTTTTACCATAGGGGCTGGCAAACTAAAGCCTTTGGGACAGATTTGGCCCACTGTCTTTTTTTGTAATAAAGTTTTATTGGAACACAGCCACATTGCTTTGTTTAAGCATTTTCTATGGCAAGCTTGCACACTACAACAGCATTACTGAGGGTCACAAGAGCGCACTTATAGCCTGGAAAGCCCAAAATAATTACTTTTTGGCCCTTTACAGGAAAAGTTTGCTAAGTCTGTTCCATCCATATCATGGAACTAAATGTTAAGACATGAATCATAATTCTCCTGACCAGTCTGTTAAAACTGAAAGTCACTTCTATCTATAAAAACCTTCAGGTTCACAAATTCCCTTATATTACACAACCTTATTAGATTAGTATGGCTTTCAAATCGATCAAGTTCTCTAAAACTTAGGCTATAAATTCTTATTAGTGAACTCACCATAAGAAAAAGTATCTGGCAGAGGAACACCATGGCCAGCCAACTCTTGAAATGTCCAGAACTTATTAACACAGTTCAGGATGGCTTGAGGTCGGTTCATCAACCGGCATCCCATCTTCTCTAGATGGCGCAAAACAGTGATGTCACTATCGCTCTGCACCCAAGGGGTTGGTACTCTCACTACCACCACCTGGGGGTAGGCAGTAATTAGTTCTCCATTGATCCGAAGACCTGAAACATATAGGAAAGAAACCAAAACCATTCAAATGAAAAAGACAATAAAACAAAGAAACAGAAATATACCCAAGCTTGAAATACAAAATTAAATGTACTATTTTGTTGACATTTCATTGGGACAAAGAAAAAAACCTCCTTAAATTATATTTCTTTGTAAGAAATAATATTTAATGGGAAACTTCTGCACTGGTTAAATAAATCATGATATATGGCAACACAATGAAATACTACATAGCCATTAAAAAGAATGTCATAAATCTCTATCCAGAAATGGTAAAAAAAAAGTCCAGATGTTGAATTTTAAAAAAGCAAATCTGAGAATAAGTTTTATCTGTTTACATATGCATAGAAAATGTATGAAAGGATAAATGATATACATGGCTTTCTCTTGAGTGCGGAGTGTGTTTGGCAAGGCAGGGAGAGGAAGACAGAATAGGAAACTAACGTTCTTCTCCATGCAATTCTCTATTTTCTTTATGTTCTTTTTTAAGTGAGAACATATGCTTTTATAATGAAAAAAAGAATATTTTTTTAAAAAGAAGTTTCTGGAATTTTACCCAATACCAATTTAAAGAGGTCCCAAGTAATAAAATATGGTATTTATGAGTTGGTCCTTAAAACCTATTTTCATTAAAAAATAGTATATATACGTGTTTAAAACTTTCAAATACAAAAGTATATAAACTCCCCTCAGAGACTATCCGACCCCTCCCCTGTGCCCCAGGCATGCTGATTCCTGGAACAGGCCTTTGCACTCCCCAAGTCAAGTATGTAGTGCATTTTCCCCTATCTAGGACAGGTCACGCCCCAGTATCTCTATCCAGCCTACCCGGTACTATACAACCCTATAGCATCTGCCACGGCACGCCTAATACAGAAATTCTCTTAATAAACTCAAGGTAATACTAAAGTTTGTCGGCTGCTTTCTGTAGTTTCTTGGCCCTGGGGGGAAATTTTACATAACAGGTCCTTGCTCTCAAGAAGCTTTCATTCTAGTGGGAGAGACTCTATGTAGTAATTTTTATTGTATTAGCTTTTAAACATGGTAGAAGTTCTGATACGAGAGAGACTGGCAGAGGTAATAGTTGAGTTATGGCATAAGCCTTGAGATATCTGTATGTTTAAAAAAGAAAGAAAGGACACTTCAGATTTAACGGAGTAGCAGAAGTCACAGGGCAAAAAGAGCAATAAGAACAATGTCTGCCTCAACTGCAACTTGTACTGATGCAATGTAAAAGGTTGGTCAGTTAAGATCGGTCAGTCAAACGTGCAAAGCCACAAATTTATATATAATTGCATATAACATTGTATTCATTTTAAGTGTATAACAGAATGATTCAATACTAGTACATACTGTGAAACAATCACAATAAATTTAGTTGACATCCATCACCTCACATAGTTAACAATTTTTTTCTTGTGATGAGAACTTTTAAGATTTACTCTCTTAGCAACTTTTAAATATACAATACAGCATTGTTAACTATAGTCACCATTGTGTACATTACATCCCAAGGACCTATGTATCTTATAACTGGAAGTTTGTACATTGTGACCACCATCACCCCACCTTGCCACTCCCACCCTTGCCACTCTCGCCTCTGGCCACCACCAAACTGTTCTCTGTATCAAAGACTTTGGTCTTACATATTAGTAACATCATACTGTATTTGCCTTTCTTTATCAGTCTTATTTCACTTGGCATAGTTCCCTTGAGGTGCATCCATGGTATCACAAATGGCACAATTTCCTTCTTTTCTATGGCTAAATAATATTCCATTATATATACATACATACACACTACATTTTCTTTATTCATTCATCCGTTGATGGAAACTAAGGTTATTTCCATGTCTTATAGTAAAAAATGCTGCAATAAACTTGGGGGTGCCGGTATATCTTCAAAATAGTGATTCTATTTCCTTCAAGTAAAAACTCAAAAGTGAAATTTCTGGATCCACAAATTCTGAGCTAGAATTTATATCTGTTCTGATTGAGAGAACTGACGGTTTGTGCTAAATATTATCTGTTGATACCACACACTGCAAACTCACCCCCATCTTTTAATCCCTCCCTGTATGGCTGGGGCTAGAAACATTTCCCATGTTCCCTTACCAACAGAATTCTGGTTAGAGAATCCATCAATGAGAGACAATTACACAAAAATTTAAAGGTGAAAGAGAAGTGGAAGTCATTCTCCAGAGGCAGCTTTGGGTAGGTATGTGGTCATCAGCAGACATGGGTTTTGCCTGTGGCTTTAGGCATTCTCATAACCATTCACTGTGCTGCTGCTATAGGCATCTTGAGATCAGCAGCAGCTCGAGATGTAATAGCTAAAGAGATCAGGGTATATAGGCTGACAAACAAAAGGAAAAAATAGAGAAACCTAGAACAAAGATTTGGTGGATCTCAATAGGCAACAAAAATCTGAAGAAAAATCAGTCAAAAAACTAGGGAAATCTAGTTTTCAGTACTATATAAAAGATAAGTCAGTATTATCAGGGGAGAATGATCAAATTCATTAAATATAACAAAGGTAACACAAAGATTAAGTTTTGAGTGATCAGGAAGAGATACTATCAAGAGAAAATTCAACTATTATTACATTCTCTTCTCATCTCCCTAAACGGGAGACAGCTTTTGCTCTTTTTAAGAAAACGGATAAAGAAGGCAATGAAATCGTCCAGTGCTCAGTCTATATCACCAACAGGAACCACCCATCTGCTGCCACCAGAAAACGTGAGTACGGGAATACTTTACCCAAGGTGCAGTCAGATCTGAATAGTACACTACGTGGGTATTATCGAGGATGGAAAGAAATCCAATGCTTCCAGTAACAGAAACAAATACTTTGTTATTTTAGGCAAGCAGGTGATCCAAGGCTGGAAAGAAGGGCAGGTACAAAAGAATGTGAGCCGAAACAGGCTAAGTGACATCTCTTACGACTCTGCTACTGATCTCCTGGACACTCTGCAATGCCACTCTAAGAATCCATTCTTATAAGAATATTATATATACCTTTCATATCTGGCTGCTTTCTAACGAGATATATTTTGTGTTTCCTATCAAAACATCCCTCTTTAACACTCTCAGTAAGCCTTTCCCTCTAATGTGTTTCCAAGACTTATCTAGCTATTAATCCCAGGGAAAGACAAAATTTGTCTCTTGAATTCTAAGTTCGTTTGGTAATGATGAGGAACTAATAAAACACTTTCTCCAGACCTTTATCAGTGATACAGAAAGAAACAAAAGAAAAACTACTCTAACAGTGTGCTCATTATCACTGAGGATTGCCGCACTGCAGCTGACAGTCATGTGTTTAAAAAAGAGAAAATGAGTGAAGGGTTTTTTTTCAGTTCAAAGAAATTGAATAAATTTTTAAAAAATAAAGAGAAGAGGAAAATAGAAAGTAAGCAAACAACCAATCATTATGGCTATCCATTTTTAAAGCACTTTTTATTGAAAGTAATGACTAGCTAGCTTTTTTTGTAAGTACCTTTAAAAAATACAAAATCTGAGATCAAGATAACAAACTACCCCAAAAACTGGCAAAAGGATATAAAACATCAAATTTAGAGAACTCTGATGCCACCAGCTAAAATAATTCACCTCCTTGGATTTTATAAATGCTGACATTTAATCTCTGCATGTTTGAATGCACTCTCTTTAGCTTTTCTATAGACAGTTAAAAAAAACTGGCTCAAGAGAAACACTTCATGAAATTGATAAACAAAAAGACAAAATATCCTTAAGGGACTCATCTATTTATCCATTCAAAAATATCTGCTGAGCACCTTCTTTAAGTACTCTGAACTTTAGGATAAAATCCTAGCCCACTTGAGAGGTTTTGAGGAGAATAAAGGGCTGGAGGGAGTGGGGGATGCATGTAAAGTACTTAATAAATGACTGGTACACGGTACATCATTAATAACTGGTAGTGGCTTTCCATTACTTTCAGTTTACGAAGGTAGGGTGGGTAGGTTGCTGGCAATAGGACCTTTGTCCTCAATCCCCGATTGAACATATTTGCTTTATTTAATATTTGATGCATAAGGACTCAGTATTAGAAGATACTCTTCTATTTTGCTAATTTAACATGAAAGCCTGTTTTTATTATTTTTTCTTACTATTTTAATATGATTTGAAAATTAAAACTCAAAATACTATATCCAACCTAACTATTACATTTTCTTTACCCATAAAATAACAATCTTTCTTGGAATGGTAAAGAAAAGCTATACAGAAGTTAGGAAAAACATAATCTAAATTATTGTTAATGAAGCCAGCCATAAAAAATTTGCTGCAGTCTTCTAGCAACACAGTACTGTAGAAGAGGGGAGAGAGGAAGCAAAGCAACTTGGTAATGTATGCAAAGCTTCTTTTAAATGTCCAGCCTCTCTGTACATTTTGAAAAATGGAAAACTTTTTAACAGTAGCTCCAGGTTAAAGACAAATATTTACTCTACCCAACTTTTAGCAATCACAACTGCATGATATAAACTTTCTTAATACAGATATAAGTAAATATAAATAAAAATATGTAATTTATTTAACCATATAATTTTTAGTAAAGTATTAATAAGTATAAACTAAAAGCTATGGAATAATAAATAATGAAGGGAATTATTTTGACATGGCACTTATATAAGGACTTGCTTACCTATTTGCAAGCATGTCACATTTTCTAAAGTTTATTTCACTTCTACTACCTGTAATTTCATAGTAACTTTTATTCATACAGCTATACTCTAATTCATAATACTCAACATCACATATAAAACTATAGCCATTTCCAAGAACAATTTGATCCCTAAATGTGAAAGAGTTTATAGCATTAGAGGTATAACTAATCCTACTTCTTCACTTTCCTGAACTACTTTGCAAAAGGACAGGCAAACAGTCTAATAAGACAGACATAATTTACACTCAGTGCTGGCAGAGAAGATAAATTTAATTCAAGTATCTCACTGAAGAATTAATAACAAAAATGTAGACTGATTTAGCATGCAGACTAAATATAATCAGAGTTCCCTATTAACTTTAATAACAGGAGGAAAAGGGATATTCAGATGATATTTGCTTTCACGTTTATGTTTTGATACTGTCTGTGTCATTTGTGTAATAAAAAGATATAAAGCTATTAGTCTTTTGAAAAAGGAAAGAAGATATATGTAGCTAGGGTTCCTAGCGCTATGCTTTCTAAATAGTAGGTACTCTCAAACTGTTCACTTTTCTTCTCTTCACAATTAACAGGAAACATCCAAGGGAATATTTAAGAAAAATGTCCAGAATAAATTAAAATGTTTTAATTATATGAAATAACTTTGTTATTTGGGGATGGGCTTGTCTACTTATACAACAATGGAAAAGAAGTACCAAAGAGCCAGGATAACCCCCAATGAATTAGGACCAGTTGACCTGATGGCTTTACTGGTGAATTCTACCAAACATTTAAAGAACCAATACAAATATTTCTCAAACGCTTCCAAAAAATTGAAGAGGAAGGAACACTTCCTAACTCATTCTGTGAAGCCACCATAACCCTGATATCAAAACTAGACAAAAAACACTGTAAGAAAACTACACCCAAGTATCCCCTATGAACATCAATGCAAAATCCTCAACAAACTACGAGCAAACAGAATTCAGCATCGTATTAAAAGGATTATACACCATGACCAAGAGATATTTATTCCTAAAATGCAAGGATAATTCAACATATGAAAACCAATCAATGTAATATACTACATCAACAGAATGAAGCAGGGAACCTTGATCCCCTCTAATGATGCAGAAAAAGCATCTAACAAAATTTAACACCCTTTAATGATAAAAATCTCAACAAAATAGGATTAAGAAAAAACCATCTCCACATAATAAAACCCACATATGAAAATGCTACAGCAAACATCATACTCAGTGGTGAAAGATTGAAAAGGTTTTCCTCTATATCAGGAATAAGGCAAGGATGCCTACTCTTTCACTACTTCTATTTAACATACTACTAGATGTTCTTGCCAGAGCAATTGGGCATGAAAAAGAAATAAAAAGCACCGAAATTAGAAAGGAAGAAGTAAAATGTATTGCTTTTTGTAGATAATATGACCTTATATGGAGAAAACACTAAAGACTCTACAAAAGAAAAAAAAAACTGTTAGAATAAATTCTGCAAAGTAGCAGATAAAATGTCAACACACAAAAATCAGTTGCATTTCTATACACAAACAGTGAACAATCTAAAAATGAAATTACAAAAACAATTCCATTTACAACAGCATAAAAAAGAATAAAATACTTAGGAATTAACTTAGCCAAGGAGGTGAAATACTTGTATAAAACTATAAAACATTACTGAAAGAAATTAAATAATAAATAATGTTCATGGATTGGACACAAAGCAATCTAGAGTCAATGCAATCTCTAGCAAATTCCCAATGTTTTTTGCACAAATAGAAAAATGCATCCTAGGATATATGTGTTGCTATATATGATAGGATATGTGTATTGGACCTAGCCACATATATTAAAAAAAGAGAGCTGGACTGAAAATAGTGTCTATCTATTTTATAAAGGTAGTAAGTAGTTATTCACTCAAGTGAAACAAATTAGAAACATTTCTAAAGCATTTCTTTCAAAAGCAACAATAACTGTGTAGAAAGGTACTAAGAATGAAATAGATGTTAAGAGAGCAGAGAATAAAGAGTAAATGTTTCCAAAGAGATTCTATTTACTTAAATCTCTGGTATCATATGTTATTAATCAGGCAAGATTCTGGTCTATTAACCAGCCTGTGAATGAAATTACTCAACAATAGAAGATTTGTACTTTGAATATTAATTCTCACAACAGCCACTTGTCTCCATTTTATTGATGAGGAAATTAAAATATATAGCCTCATTATGATTCCAGTCACAAAGCAAGTAAGTGATCTAGAATATATTTTAAATGTTTATTTTATATCCTTACCCAACATTATTGCTAACAATACTAACCCATTAAGTATTCTCTGAAAATTAATCAAAAATTCCAACTATTTCCTAAATAAGACTATAAGGGGTTTAATAAATACTGGCATTTCCATTTCTTAAAATTAGATAATACTTAGTATGATAAGGCTATTAACAATTCCTTTGTCCTAATTATTCCCAAAACATGCAGATTCACCATATTCTAAGTAAAAATCCAAAACATTACTTAGTATAGACTTACCCAGGTTTCCTTGCTCGATTGTCAGCACCACCTCATCCATCACCACAGCCCTAAAATCCAGTTCTTCCTCACAACATTTGGCCTTCAATGCTCGTAAGATCTCTTTCTGGGGATAATCTTCCCTGATTCGACGATCTGTCAAAAACCACAACTTGGCAGCCACAGAGCTACACATCTTGACTGTCTGTTATTCCTTTTCCTGGATTATTTCCTCCTGAATGTAAACTCTTTCTAGATGAAGAGAAAATACACATACAAATCAAGAAATCTACTTAATTTCTGGCTGTTACACAAATAGATGTTGATTATATACTAACTATAGAAACAGGATAATAAGAGCATCACTTTTTCCCGTGCATTCAAATTAAAAATTTTTACACCACTAAAAATACGGAAAGTGACAACCTCCCCTGAAATTAGATTTTTTCATTTTCTACTGAATAAGCTAGCACTGCAGTTTTATAATTACAGCAGGTCACTTATCATAAGCTTTCAATATCATTCCATATATTACATATGAATATACTTTAATCTGATCATCTACTTTCAAATGATTTACCTCTCCCCATATTCCCATAGCTCTCCCATCACTACAAACTCTGATCATATATATTGAAGTACCTGTAGTTTTTTTAATTCAATTTTCTTCTCTTATTTTGTTGTATGTATATTTTATTATAAACATTTATAGGTATGTAAAAAATGCTAGATGAGCATTAACACTGAAGTTATTTACATAGTAACTTTAATCACAGTAAATAATTTGAGAATGTGGGAAAGAACTTTAAATAACCAAATAAATGCCGAAGTCTTTTCATTAAAATTTGTGTATTTCAGTCAGGACAGCATGCTCTTTCTTAGTGTTTTCATTCTTTCTTTAAATAGATTTTAAAACAAACACAGCTTGTTTACTAGAATGCAAAAAAGGACTTTCTTCCACAAATAGTTTTGTTTCTCAGAGTTTATATATAGCGTGAGCAAGATAACAGCTGAAATTCATTTTCCTGAGACGCAGTGAAAAGTTATCTTTTACTAACAAACGTAACAGGTGATTTCAACAAAAGAATTTTTTTTCAAAAATAAAATTCCTATTATTATTTCAGATGACATGGCAAACTAACAGATGGAAAGGACAAGGGCAAGGACTAGAGGAAGAAACAGCCATACTGACTTGACAGCCAGCTTCCACCATCTCCCTGCTAGAACTTGTCCCTAATGGACCCCTCACGCACTCCCCAGGGTCTCAGCCAGAAGGGCCTGCTCCACAGATGCCCACAGTGATTAAGACCAGAATATCATGGGACATAGGCACCCCACAATACATACACACCCCAAACCTTGGCCTGCCATACCTGCTTCATGACCCCTGGCCTCAAAGGTATCAGTCACTGGAAAGCAGGGAATGAACAAAAATAATGTGGGAGATAAACAGGAAAGCAGGAAAAGGGCTTGTAGCTGTGGAAAAGCAAGGGGTGGGAAGGAGCTCTCAGCTGTGGTAATGCATCAGGGCGAGACTCAAGTAACCAGCAAAGGGGATGCCCAGAGCCTCCTGCCCCTCTGTGACCTTGCTGCACAGCGGGGGTAAGAACACGCCCACTCAAGCCCTAGGCTAGATATGGTAATAACTCAACTTACACACTAGGAAGATGGGATGTGGCCTTACAGGGTCTCCCAGGCCACTAGGAAGGGTCTCACTCTTAGAAGGAAAAGCTCCACAAAAGTCACACCATAGTACCTAATGTAAAGATTTCCAATTTCCCTTGAGAGAACTGGAAAAATGGCTTTATAAAATGTTTATATTGGGCAGTTTTTGAAACACCCTTTTCTTGACACTCTGAAGCCATCTCAATGCCTCCTCTGACACTTAGTTCTTGAACATCGTCTATTCACCAATGTGATTGAATTTCATTGTATGAAACAATATTGCATGAGCACAGCAGTTGGGGCCCCAAAAGAAATCAGGATGGGACGTTACAGCCACTGGCAACTGAGAAGCAGAAACATTCTGCCAATACTGATATGTCAGCTCTCAGAAAAAGCCCAGGTCACCACGGCAACACAACATGGTGTTTCCAGTGATTTTGTGCTAGGACAGTGAAAGCACTCCGGGACTGCCATTCCACACAGGCATGCAGCAACTTGAGATGCACATGAGCATTTCTATCTCATCTGGTTTCACAGCCGCATAAAGTTTGGGTGTTTCTACACCAGTATGCAGCAAACTGCAGGTTTGGTTTAGGATCCCTATCTCTTCATTTTCCTTTTAATGGGCTCCAAATTCTCTAAATGGGGTTTGAACAAGGAAAATGATATTCCTTCTGTCTGGGAGAGTTGAAGCCAATCTAGAGATATCACTTGCCACAATCTTTCAGAAGGGGTGCCTGTACCCCGGACCTAGAACTGGAGGAATGCTCTTGCCCTGCAAAAGAAGACTCTATGAAAGAGATAGAGGCTGTGCTGAAGAGGGGTGACATTAGTTTCGATGGCTATGGTTTCTCAAAGCCCACCTAAGTGGCAGGAAACATGGCAGGATCTCAACGGAAGTCACCTCACCTGGAACCGAGGTATCTTTAAATTATATAGCATACCTTTTCTTTATCAGCTTCAAAAGATTTTTGTTATGCCTTGCTTTTCATGTAAAGATCATAGAAGTATGCCACACTGTGTTCCAACTCATTATTTCTGTAAACCAAGTAGATGACATCCCCAGTTTGTAAAGAGCCCATCTGATTCTTAACGACTTTCAGCTTATTAATTGTGGTTCCATTGGTGCTGTATCTCCAAGCGACACCTGTCCAGAGACCAGTTTATTGACCGGGAATTAAAGGGCACAACCTCTCCACCCCATGGCCACTCCTGTTTCCACAGGAGGACTTGGGGCTGGCCATCCTTGGTGCCCAAGGCTGCTGCTGCAGTGGCTGCTTAACTTTTTAAGGCTACTCCATTGGAATTCACATCTAACCATATCCAAGAAATGGTCATATGAAGACTCTCCAACCCCAAAGACAAGAGGCTCTGCATCATCCCTCATCCCTACCACCACCCTCATGGTCTGGCCAGCAATGCCTTCCTGTGGGGCGGAGGGCCTGGAAGGGACCAGCAGGCCTCCTCTGATAGCCTCCTCCTCCCCTACTATTTTAAAACATCTACTCTTCCCTTTTTCCCAGTAACATAAAGAAAAAGAAAAAACAAAAAAGTTTCTAAGCAGTCAAAAGCAAACAAATTTATGCAGTCCAGGAGCCCAAAAGTACACCAAAATGATAGTCCTGTGTCTTAAGAAAAAAAAAGTTCAAATTACAGTCACTATTTTAATAGAGAAAAGAGTCCCCTGTAAAATAAAATGGTTCCTTTTTTTCCCTCTGACATTTAATGGAGTAGGTTTGGTTACTCAATAAGTTATCCGTACAAGAAGAGCTTATTGAGGGTGGAGCTGAAGGTGCCAATTCATCCACATGGCTGCCATACCAGAGCCCTGCGGCACCAGGGCACCAGGGCACCTGGGAAGAGGAAGACAGAATTAGAAGATCCTGTGATGTTGGCGTGGGAGGATTTATCTTGGGGACTTTAGGATGCTGGTTCCACGATGTAGGTACAATTATGCAAAACTAAGAATACAGGAAAGAATTGCCAAAGAATTAAAAATAAGATTTTATATGAAACTATCCACCTTGATCCTGAAAGAAAACAAACCAACGCCAACAGCAGCAACTGAGCCGTCTTGAGCATAAAAAACTCAAATACAACTCACTGAAGTTAGTGTGAACAAAGTAGAGATCGACTATATAAAATACTGTATGTACCATAAGAAAGCTTTCAATCAAGTATATGTAAGTTTAAAAAAAAAGGTGTTCTCCAATAGTATAAGATAAATAAAGCATTTGCAAATGTCTACATATACACTACAGTATTTCTCCTCTTAGAACGTAAACTCAGATCAACTAATTTCTACCCTCTATTTCCCAAGTATCAAGGAAAACAACATATGTGTAAATATCAGATACCAAATAAACACTATTGATAACTACTAATGTAGATTTTTTGAAATGAAGAGAAATTCAAAGAGAATTTCCTTTTATATTAGAGATAGTTTTCCCATGCAAACTTCTGGATAGGCACACCATTAAAAAAGTCACTGTCATCTTCAAATAGTCTAGGTAAGGCTAATTAAATGTGAATCATAAAGTGACTCATTCACTTTTCTTGTGAGGCCCTTTCACAATAGTAATTATTCTGGTAAAAAATCACAATCTACCATCTGAAGATTATTCAGATATCTCTTACTATTAGGAAAATTCTTTATTCCAGATAAGACACAGCATATGAACTCAGAATCAAAAGACTGAAAAAGAATAAAGGGTAGAGAAAAAAAATGAAATACTAATACACAAACTAAATTTACTCCGTTTGGCAATTCCTAGAGAATGCTTTCAATGACATCATTCTGTCTTGGATATGAAATACAGAAGTTGGATCAGGTTTATAGAAAAAAAATAACACGTGTATCTTGAGTTGTACACTCCTTCAGGCTCCTTTTCTGTGACTTTTTTCCCTTACAGCTTTCTTTCTGTACATAATCCTCAGGGCTTCATTCTTAAACCCTTCTCTCCTTTCTCTAGAAATGTCATCCTCAGCCAGGTTTCAACAATTATCATTGAAACCTGAATATCTCTCTCACCAGCAACTCTAAACTGAATTACAGATCATATTTCTATGTGCCATTAGGCATCCCTAATTAATGCCACCCACTACTACCTCGGTTGAGAAAGTAAAAATATGAATTTTTATTTTTAGTCACCACAAACATGCTCCAACACCTGGATTTCCCATTGTGATGGTTAAATTTTATGTGTCAACTTAGCTAGGCAATGGTGCCCAACTGTTTGGTCAAATAATAGTCTACATGTTACTGTGAAATACATTTTGTAAATGTGATTAAGATCTACAGTCAACTGGCTTTGAGTAAAGGAGATTAGCCTCTATAATGTGGGCGGGCCTCATCCAATCAGTTGAAGGACTAAAGAGCAAAACTAAGATTTCCCAGAGAAACTCTGCCTGAGTTACCAGCCTACTGGCCAGTCCTACAGATTTCAAATTTGCCAGTCCCACAATCGCACTAGCCAATTCCCTAAAATTAATAGCTTGTGCACGTGCACTCTCTCTCGTGTCATGTGACTTAATAATAAAACTGTACCTTTTAACGTCAACTTTGTGATACTTCACCTTTTAAGCAA